ACTACTACTACTACTACTACTACTACTCTACTAACCTACTACTACGACTACGACTACGACTACGACTACGACTACGACTACGACTACGACTGCGACTACGACTACGACTACGACTACGTCTACGACTACGGCTACTACTACTACTAATGCTACTACTACTACTACTACTACTACTATTACTACTACTACTACTACTACTACTACTACTACTACTACTACTACTACTACTACTACTACTACTACTACTACTACTACTACTACTACTACTACGGATCATCACCTTCTCAGCCAGGGGGCCCGAAGAGTGAAAGAAGAGGCCGCCAAAGGAGCCGACAAAATGGCCCCACAATGTTCCAGGAAGGTCTCCAAGCGCCGCAGACGGCGTAAGAAAAACCCAACGAGAATGAATCAACAGGGAAACCGTCTACCCACTGTCCCCATAAACCCCTTGAGGTCGGCGCCGTTCCAAGAGTATTTTCGCGGGCCCGCACACCCGACGTCTTCCGACCTGGACGCGACCTCGCGCGAACCTCCCGTAACGACCCTTGCCCTGGCACCCGCAGCGACCCTCACACCGTCCCAAAACACTGTTTTGGGGCCCCCGAACCGTCAGAAATGTCCATCGGACACTTTTCCGGTCGGTTTTGTTCCGATTCAAGCCCGGCGCTCGGACCCCTGCTCTTACCCCCTGCACCGTCCCTGGAATCGCGTTCGTGGACCTCCCCCCAGACACTGTGCCACCCAGATATGACCCTGTTCCAGCCCCCCGCTCGGACACCTGTACAGATTCCCGCACCGTCTCCCAAGCATGCTTGCCCTTCGGCAACCGCATCGGGCCTCCCGCGCACCGTGGGGGTGCTCGTACTGCAACCCGCGTTGGGCCCGCCAGCAGACAGTGCCCTGCGGGCACTTTCCGTGGAGACGCATCGGGACCACCACAAGGGAACACGCTGCCAATCCCAGTCGCAGACCGCGCCAAGGATGCCGTCGGCGGAGATGCCGAAGGCGTTGGAATACGGAGGGGGGGAGGAGGGAAAGGAAGGAGGAGAGCACGGGAAGGGAGGTGTGCCCATCCGAGGGAACGGTGCACCCCCCCATCCCAGAGGCGACGAGGCACAAGCTGTTTAGGGAAAAGAAGACCCTAGCCCCCCCTATCCCCCTCCGCGACCTGAATGCACCACCCAGGCCAGCGGAGGACGTCATAGGGGGCCAGGACAGTACGTCGATGCGAAAAGGACGGGGGAGAAAGTGGAGGGAGGATCGGGCAGACGGAAGCCCTTTTAGGCTTTCCCCGGCGCATGAGACTGCCATTTTGGCATGATTTCGGGGGCGAACCCGCTTGTCGCTCGAAAGCGACTGAAAGCCAAGACTCGCTCGCGCGCGTGCCCCACACAGAAAGACCGTGCTAGGCCACCGCGACAAATGCTGCAGCGGGTGAACGCGCGGGACCGACAGAACGGCTCAATTTCCGGGAAGAGCAAGGCGCTGGGAAAGCTTACGCCGACTGCGGAGTAGCGTGGACGCGTGGCCCACTCGTCCGGGCCCGACCACAACTGTCGAGGCTCTGCGGCGCGCCAGTCTGCCAGGTGGATGCGTCGGCGTTGCTGGCGCGCAAACACCGACTGCACGTGAAGTACCACGCAAACAGATGCACTGGCACCGTTGCAAGTTTGTGGCGAGTGCGGAATGCCGTGAAGTGCGTCGCGATGTCGTGAACCCAAAAACACCTTTCTGGATCCAGGGTTCTGAACTCCCCCTGAATCTCGGATTCTAGTGATGGGCCACAGCCACTCACATTTGACTTGGCAGCACGTGCGGTCTAACACGCCCCGTTGCCATAGGACGGACGCAGGCGGAGGGGCAACGCAGAGGAAAAGCAATGCTCAGAGCACCCCCGAAGTGAAAACTGCGCGCGGGCGGGGGAAGCGCGAACGCGAGCGTTCTGGAGGCGAGCGAATGATGTGGAGCGGCCGCTATGGCCGACATCGCGTTGGGACGCGGCGACGGCGCGAGAGTCGGCGTCGCCGGCTCGCGCGCAAGCGACGGCGACAGAGGAAACGCGCCCGGGCGATCGACCGCCGGCGCATCCAGGAAACAGTCGCGCACGCGCTGCCTCGAAAGTATGAGCTCCGCAGGAGGCCGCCGGTATCAAAAATGTTGCCCAATCCGAACTTGGGAACAGGGACGAAGGTCTAGACCGCCCATGACGTCCTCGATGCCCAACGACGCCCCGCCGCCAGCGGCTGGGAGCACCTGCCCCCCATCACGCTGGCAGAGATGCAGGGCGCCGCGCGCTCGTTGAGCACGGCACGGCGGCGGGGCCAAAGCGCGCGCCGCCGACAGCTATGGAGCACCTCGGCGGGGTCGCACTACGATATGTTCCGACGGTATACAACACGATCAGGCCCGGTTACGGAAACCCGATGGAGGGCAAGGGCTGGTCGCACTCATCAGCGCGCTGATACGGTCTGGAGCCATCAACTACCGGCCTCTTTCAGCCGAGACGCACGCGCGGTGCCAATGCCAGACGAGCCACGGCGATGACAATGACGAACACGACAGCGGGGACGCACGCAGGCACGCATGGCCTCCGCACGTAGGCGCGAGGTTCATTGGAAAGGACACGCTAGAGGACTCGAGACCCTTCCGAAGGCCACAACTCCGAAGGACTGTGAACGGCATGGGTCGGCACGCACAGGACGCAGGAGCATCCTTGACTTGGCAAGGTCGACCTACCAATCAGCCTCGACTGTAAGCGCGCCTCTCCGCCTGCAGCTGCGCGTTCACCTCCTCGTGCAGCCGCAGGGAAAAACCCGCGATCGGCTGGCCTCGCCCTCGCCACGGCGGAACCCCCCCCCGCCGTTTTCCCACAGCGGCGGAACCCCCCCAAGAGAGCCGATGCATCGCTTGTGTGCATCGGCGCCGTCAGCGTGGAGAGAATCAGGCTACACCTCGGTCCGCATCAGCGATGCATCGTCAATGCGGCGCGATCCTCCGACCATGTTTGCTCTGGCCCCATCTGGGAGGCCTGGATGGATTCAGCGCGCTGCACGGCAATGCCGCGACGTGTCGACCGCAGCGGTGGTTCCTGACAGCGCGGGAATCGTTCAAGCTTGAACGAGCGGCCGTTTTAGAAACGCTGGATCGGCCAACGATGGCCCAGTTTTGGGCCACGGGCGGCGTTCCCCCTGCCCCCGTGCCTTTCCTTCCCTCCTCCTCCTCCTCCCCCCCTCCTCCTCCCCGTCCCTTCCTCCCCCCCCGTCCCCCCTTCCGCATTATCCGGCTCGTCGTCGTCCTCCTCCTTCTCCTCCTCCGCCTCCACCTCCTCGTGTTCCGCGTTTTCCTGTTCTTTTTCCTCCTCCATCCACTCCACTCCCGATCCTCCTCCATATTCTCCCCCCCCTCCTCCCCCTCCTCGTCCTTGTTCCCCTCCTCGACCTCCTCCATCTCCTCCTCCTCCTCCTCCTCCTCCTCCTCCTCCTCCTCCTCCTCCTCCCCTCCTCCTCCTCCCTCCTCCCTCCTCCTCCTCCTCCTCCCCCATCCTCCTCCTCCTCCCTCCTCCTCCTCCTCCTCCTCCTCCTCCTCCTCCTCCTCCTCCTCCTCCTAGCTCCTCTCTCCTCCTCCTCCTCCGCCTCCTCCTCCTCCTCCTCATCCTCCTCCTCCTCCTCCTCCTCCCTCCTCCTCCTCCTCCTCTCCTCCTCCTCCTCACTCCTCCTCCTCCTCCTCCTCCTCCTCCTCCTCCTACCTCCTCCTCCTCCTCCTCCTCCTCCTTCCTCCTCCTCCTCCTCCTTCGCCCTCTTCTTCTCATCCTCTTCCTTCTACTCATCCTCGTCGTCCTCCTCCCACCCCCCCCCCCCCCCAATCCTCGTCCTCCTTGAGCCGTCCTCTTCCTCCTCCTCCTCCTCCTCCTCCTCCTCCTCTCCTCCTCCTCCTCCTCTCCTCCTCCGCCTCCTCCTCCTCCTCCTCCTCCTCCTCCCCTCCCCCCCTCCTCCTCCTCTTCCTCCTCCTCCTCCTCCTGCTCCTCCTCTTTTGCCTCCCCCACCTCATCCTCCTTCTCCTCCTCTTCCTCTCCCCCTCTCCTTCCTCCTCTGCCTCCTTCTCCGCCTGCCCCTCGTCCTCCTCCTCTTCTGCCCTCTTCCTCCTCCCCCCTCATGGGTGCTTCCTGGGGCCGCCTTGGAGGCCTCCTGGAGGCCTCCTGGGCCGTCTGGAGGCCCCTTGGAGGCGCCACGGCGGAGGTATGAATAAAGGAAGCCCGATGATTTTGAGGTGGGGGCGCCCCCGAGGACTTGGTATTCATCCATACGATGTACTTGAACCACGCGCGCGCTGAGGTCCTGTTGCGCCGCCATTTTTCGACCGAGTCTCCACCAGCGGCACCGTCTTCGTTTTACTTGCGTTGGCTTTTTCGCCGAAGGCACGAGGTTCACCATTGGAGTCCTCATATAGGACCGATGTACATTTCAATGGCGCACGACGGATCGGACCAGAACTGGAATCCGAAATCAAATCGGCCAAGAACGGGGGCTCCTAAGTTGGCGAGACCTCTCAGGGGCCACTGACCACTCCCGGGAACTCGGCGCGACGCCCCAGGACTTCGGAACCCGCCGGCCTCGAGGGCGGCATGTGTTCATGTTTTTCCGCAAGCGCCAGGCGCGCTGCAGCAGCAGTTGTATGGCTCATGGGGCCACGCCGGGCCTCCCCTTCGACGAAGTGCCACACAGCATCCACGGCAAGGAAAATCCGCCCACCCCTCTGGGTGACTGGCTTGTGAAGTCGCTTCCTCCGAAAATCCCATCGGCGGAGGACGGACAACTCGCCTCATGCAATGCCCAGCTACGAACCCTCGCCCGTTTCACAAGTGGACCCGATTGACAGATGTGCTACTCGCACCTAACCCATGTCACTGCCACACCCCACAATTCCAACCAAAACCAAATTGACTAAAATGGTCCACCACGAAATCCAAACGAACAACCAATAGGCTTCATACCGAAAACCTAGGCACAGTGGCGGGAAGGCTATTCGGTAAAGAAGAGACGAAAGTGCAACGGAGAATCATGAGTCAGGCTCATGCCTGAATGTCTCATATGAACCCTTTTTCTGCCGTACTCCGATAGGCACCCCGACAACAAACGAATCAAACGTACGTCGGTCACTTGGGGTCGGCGGCAGAGGCGGCAGCCTTTAAATGTAAGTCTCCTCTGTGGTGATGGTGATGGCGATGATGTGATACGGATGTGCTTGTTCATAGTCCTTGGCGATGAGGTGATGGTGATGGCGATGAGGTGATGGTGATGGCGATGATGTGATGCTGATGGTGTTACTTCATAGTCCTCCCCTGATGGTGATGGTGATGGTGATGGCGATGGTGTGATAAGGATGTGTCTTTTCATAGTCCTTGGCTTCAGTACACGACGGATGCCGGCGGGGCGAAGGAGGGCAAGGTCTGCCTCCCCAAGCGCTACGCTGCTCGGGCAGTTTGAAGGGGCCCAGGGAGACGCAACTCAACAGACACGAATTGAGGAGTCACCGAATATTCGCAAGTTTTCTAGATGTTCGTCCTCCCCTGCATCTCCGAGATTTTCCCATATCTTCCTGGAAATCAACAATTAGTAGCGCATGCGTCTACTAGTGCAATTCCGCTGCTCATTCGCCCGACAACGATGAGGATGAGGAGGATCTCCAGGGCTGCGGCAACAAAACAAGACAAGAAACAATCGGACCTACAGAGTGCCGACCGATGAACAAGCACGCGTGTGCACATACTGACAGCATGCACGCAGCCGTGAATGCCTGGCGGCGGCAGCGAGGACGAAGGCGAGGAGCCGAAGAAGCAGCAGCAGGAGCGGCAAGAGGCGGCGAGTGGAGAAGCCGCCGCGGCAGCAGCACGGGGGCAAACAAGGCATCGGGCGGGTGGAACGGGGGGGGGACCCTCAAAGTGAGGTGAAGAACAGGGCCCCCGAGGGGCCTTTCGGGGCTCGGTCTGGAGCCCTGCAGGGCCCCATCGAGGGCCTCGTCTCCGCCCCGCCCATTCAGGTCACCCCCACCGCCACACGCCCGAAAGCACGCCGCATCAGCGACACCGGCATATCGGAGCACCTCGGCGGTGGGCTTGAACCGCCTCTCGACATCCTGCGGGGGGGGGGAGGCGATCGGGGGCGTGCAAACACGGATTAGCGACCCATGGATTATAGCGCGCGGTCGCCAAATCCATGGATCGTCGGAAGCGGCCAAGAGGGTGGTGTCCAAGAAGGGGGGGTGCAAATCATGACCGGCGGCACGTGCGCGGCCCCGCGGGGGGGGGCCAGGGATGTAATGAAACAAGAAGAGGCGCCATGAAAGCTGGGGGAATACCATGGCCCGCGCCATGATATCCACCCCCCCTAGTCTTAAGTCGAGCCTGTCCCCCTACAGGGGGATTTTCGTAGAAAAATATGTTTTTTAATAGTCCAAACATAATCCAATAATAGTCTGGGACTATGTGTTGTATTTTTTGACCTTCTTGGGGCATGTTTGGGGTATCTTTTATTTTTCGTCGAGAATCCCCCTGTAGGGGGACACGCCCGACATAACCCTAGTCATCACCCCCCTCTTTTCCGCCCCCGAGATCGGGGGAGGTGCCCTCCCCAAAAATGCGGCCGCGGCCGGCGCCGCCTCGCTCGGTGGCGGCAGTCCGCGATGTCCAACGGACACGGGACCCGTCGCTCGAGCCTCCCAGCCGTCCGCCTGGGGAGGAGGAGGAGGAGGAGGAGGAGAAAGAGGAGGAGGAGGAGGAGAAAGAGGAGGAGGAGAAAGAGGAGAACAAGGAGGAGGAGGAGGAAAAGGACGAGGAGGAGGAGGACGAGGAGGAGGAGGAGGACGAGGAGGGGGGGGAGGAAGAGGAGGTTGGAGGAGGAGGAGGACGAGGAGGAGGAGGTTGGAGGAGGAGGAGGAGGAGGAGGAGGAGGAGGAGGAGGAGGCGATCGCCTGAATCCTGTGGGGGGAGGGAGGCGAGCAGCTCGGGCGCGGGGGGCCGCACAGACAGGCAGCTCTCTCTCTCTCTCTTTCCCCCGCCGCCCCGGGCCCTGCTCGAGGTGCCCCCCGGGGGGGCAGATTGGCAGAGCTGCCCCGAGGTCCCACGGGGTCACTCCCGAGGTCCTGGACCAACCGTGGGAGCCCAGCTCCAGACTGAAGGAGGAGGAGGAGGAGGACGACGAGGAGGAGGACGAGGAGGAGGAGGAGAGGAGGATGCCTCTTGGGCCGTCTTGGACCGATCGTGGGGGCCTCTTGGGCTGTCCTTGGGCGTCGCGGAGCCGAAGGATAACACCAAAATTCTTCAAAAACCTTCGGACAATCAATAATTTTAGCTCCTTGGGCCCCTCTTGGGACTGCTCTCGTCGGCAGCTTCGGGCGTCCTGGGGGCCTCTCGCGCCGCCTTGGGGCCATCTTTGGCGTCTTGGAGCGAGCAGTCGGCGGCTCGGGGCCCTCTTGGACCGTCTTGGGGCTCTCCTGAGCTGTCTGAGAGCTCTCCTAGGGCTCCCGACTTCGCTCTTCGCGCTTCGCGCTCCGCGGAGCGCGAAGCGCGAATAGCTTCGCGCTCTCGCGCCGCCCTCCCCAAGGGAGAAGAGGAGGGCGAGGAAGATGGGGAGAGGGAACGAGGACCGCGAAGCTTCGCGCACTCGTGGGAGTCCTTGGCTCCGGGAGCCCTCTTTGGCCATCTGGAGGCCTCGTGGAAGCCCAGGGGAGGGGCGACACCCCAGTCGCCAGTCGAGGCTCCAGCCCAGGGGGGCCCTGGCCCTGGTCCCCCGTTGCGTGTGTACTCGCAGCTCTAAGAAGAACATGTTGGTTGAGCGCGACGCGCCAGACCCGTGAATCTCTTGCTCGAGAACCAGCTTTTCATCCTGAAAGCTTGGACTCTCTGTATGTCCGAGTCTCTGGAGGTCCAGGGGTGGCAGAGAAGCAGGGAGGGGGCCAAGGAGCTGTTCGAGGCGGGGCAAGGAGAGGGCGGGGCGAGGACACGACCGACAAAAAGAGCTGTGAAGCGAGGCTGCTCGACGAGGAGGCGCGCGGTAGACTGGAAGCGAAAGTGGGGTAGCTAACTCGCCCTCTGGGGGGCGCAAGGGTCGGAGAAACGCAAGACTCGGGTTCGGGGGACTCGCGTTGGCTCGACGGGGCCGTCAAGAAAATGACGAGACCCAATCTGAAATGTGATGCAAACTCCCGCTGCAAACACGCAGACACCCCACGAGAACTGGACCGTCAAAATCTAGAACGGCCCATCAAATGCGACGGCAAACCCGAGCTCTGTCGAGCTCGAGTCTTACGTACGATTCCCCGAAAGGGACGGATGAGCGGGGCCTGAGCGCTGCTCAGTGAGGGGGGTGGTAGCTGGGGGCGGGGCAGAAACGTGCACTTCTCTTGCCCCAGAGGTCCCGTGTGGGGCACATTCAGGGTACAAAAGGTGCACCTGTCTCCACCATGCAATGCATCGCCTCCCCATTACACAACGCCCGAGGGTCGGGTGTTGCTAGAAGTGCCCCTGGCCCAAGGTGCCCCCAGGACTTCCAGGGAGGCCCCCGCGGCCTCCTAAGCACCCCATCACCACGAGGCCCAGAGAGCCCCAGGGACTCCAAACCTGAGCGAAAAGCTGCGGGCACCATGGGCCAGGGGCACATTTAGCAACCCCCGAATGTTGAGCAGGGACCGACCGTCCCGACATTATTTTGGGCCTACCACGACATGTTCTTAGAACCCGAACATGTTCTAATACAACATCATGCTCTTAGAACATAAGCCCGATGTGTTAAAACAAAACAGACTCGGCCAGACATGTTCTAAGCACATTTCGTGGAAACCAGACAAGGTTCTTGGAACATTCTCTGGTGGGCCTACAGGCGAGCCAGGACGCTTCGCCACTGCATGACATGTAGCATAAAACGAAGCGAAGATCGGGACAAAATCGGATCGGGATAACTCGAAATCTCTGAGAATCGCCGGGTTTGGAAGATGTTGGGCGCCGCGGCCGCTCCAGAGCGTTCCGGAACGCTCTGAGAGCGCTCCGGAACGCTCTGGAGCGATTTATCCCGATCCTAGCCCTGTTTTATAGCAACCCCCGAATGGGGCCCCGCGGTCCTTCTCGTCTGGCTCCACCGGCTCGACCTCGGTGCCGAGGACTCCTCGCGCCCGCGTCGCCCTCCCCCGGGGGGGCTGCCGGCCGCGAGATCGCGGGAGCCCGAGGGTGCATGCCTCGGGCGCCAGCTAACATTTGTTTAGATTGTTTGTATTGTCTAAGTGTGTTTTTATTGTTTGCTATACTTATGTTTTACTTATGTATTACAAATTATTCCGATTAGTTTACGTATGTCTTACTTATGCATTTACTTATGGTTTACTTATGTGTTACTTATGTCTTAGTGTATGTATTGTATTGTTATTATGTTTTACGTATTTGTTGTTTGTTTGATTTTGGGGGGGGGGGGGGGCCAGCTAGCATTTCGATCCGGGATCGGTGGATCTGGCGCGTGGGCGCCAGATCCACGGATCGGGGCCACAGCCTGACCCGAAGGCCCAAATTTCGGGTCGGGGGGGGGGGGACGAGTTCCGCATGCGTGTCTGATGTTCCCCGACGCCACCCCCGCTGCGCATGGAGGACAAACGGGGGCTCCCAGGCTGGATGAGGCGGCTTGGTGGGTGGTGAGTAACGGTGCCTCATTTGGCGCAGGAGGAGGAGGAGGAGGAGGAGGCGCAGGAGGAGGAGGAGGAGGAGGGAGGAGGGAGGAGGGAGGGAGGGGAGGAGGAGGAGGAGGAGGAGAGGAGGAGGAGGATGAGGAGAGGGGAGAGGAGGAGGGAGGAGGAGGAGGGAGGAGGAGGAGGAGGAGGAGGGAGGAGGAGGAGGAGGAGGAGGGAGGAGGAGGAGGAGCAGCATGGCGCCAGTGCGCTAGTGCCGCCTCATCTGGCGACGGAGCTGGCCGCATCTCCACGGGAGCGGGGCCCGCCGCCGGTCCGCGCGCCCTGAAGTCCATGCGTGCGCGCCCCCGAAGCCCTGCTCAAACCTCCCCAGTGCTGTGGCAACTCACGGGAGCCTCCCACACCATCTTTAAAGGGAAAGTAGGACACACAAATAAATACACACAAATAAAAATAGCCCCCATATGTTCCCATAGTTTCTGGGTTTTTGTCTTCCCCCCCAATTCCCATATTTTCCCATATTTTCCTGGGAATCGAGGATTAATTGTGTCTGTGTGTTTTTTTCCCTCCTGAATCTTGTCGGCACTTGCGATTCGACGCGAATCGACGCTAAATCGACGCTAAATCGACGCTGAATCGACGGCAGCCGACGCTGAAAATCGGCGCTACTTCATCGACTCCCAGACGCGAATCGACGCTAAAGACGGAATTAAGAGGGTGTACCAGGCTCCCACAATTTGCGACCGAAGCCCAGGCCTCCTCGCGAGTCCTGGGAAGGCTGCGACAGAACTTGCCTGGCCACGCTCGGCCTTACCAAACCTCGGCACGATTAACAGGTAGGCTCGGGATAAAAAGCCGACCCCAAGCCGGAGGTCGAGAGATCCAGAGGTCCACGGTGTGACAAAGACACGACGTCGGGGACCTGGGCAGCATCGGTCGGCGTCGAATCGAATAACGACTTCGAATCCGAATGTGTCTCGGATCGGGCTGCATCGGCACGGAGTCGGAATCGAATCGGATCGGCTGCGCCAGGATGCACAACTGCGCCCTGCAACTGTTGTATCGTAGGTCTATCGCAATCGAATCGGACCGAGCCCAGCAAACTCGAAGTCGAACGGGATCGATCGGATCGAAGGGGACCCTGCCTGGGCCAGCATCCCCATCCTTCGACACCGAGCACCAGTGGCAGGGAGGTTCAGTGGAACACAGGAAACCGAACCGACAAGCTCATCACAGTAAGTATCATTACCAGAGAAGATGTATACCATTAGGCAGGGCCTGCATAGTTGGACAGGGATGTCTGTACACCTACCCCGCTCGAAACAAACTAGGACCTGCTCTCCCCACTTCCTCCTGCCCCGTCGCAGGCAAACAGTGGAGAAGTTAGACACAAGACTGGACCCTTCCTCTCCTCATTGTTGCACGCATGAAATCTCAAGACCGTGCAAGACGACAAGAAATGAACACGTTCTCTCCGCTTCTCCTCCTCCTCCTCCTCCGCCTCCTTCCTCATCCTCATCATCGCCATTATGCAGTGTAAGTGTTCAGCCTTGTCAGTCCTTGTCAGTCTCCCCAAATTTCTCCTTATCCTCCTCTTCCAATTCCTCCTCCTCCGCCGCCACCTCCTCCTCCTCCTCCTCCTCCTCCTCTCCTCCCGCTCCTCCTCCTCCTTGCATCTCCTGTTCCTCCTCCTCCTCCTCCTCCTCCTCCTCTTCCTCCTCCTCCTCCTCTCCTCCTCCTCCTCATCCTCCGTCCTGTTCCCGCCTGCCTCGGCTGTTACCACTACACATTATAAGTTACTGTGAAGCATATCGTCAATATCGTCCGCTTCCTCCTCCTCCTCAGATGATGATGATGATGATGGTGGTGATGATGATGATGATGATGATGATGATGATGATGATGATGTTGATGATGATGGTAGTAATAATCATGATGCTGATGCTGATGCTGATGCTGATGATGCTGACGATGATGATAATACTGATGACGATGATGATGAAGATGACGATGATGTTGATGTTGATGCTGATGCTGATGCTGATGCTGACGTGATGGTGATGGTGGTGCTGATAATGATGATGGTCCATGGCCATTGCTGCTAGCATCAGCAGCAAAATCGTCTATCTCCAGATAAGTCAATCCACCACAACGTCATTGCCAACATCATCAGAATCGTCCCCACCACCATCTCCATCACCATCAACAACATCACAGATCATATTCATCGTGTACAGATTCCATCCTCTCGCATCATCATCACCAACATCACCCTCATCACCCTCCCGTTCACGATTATCATCAGACTCATCGCCCTATTCATCCGTGATCTTCCATCTCCTCCTCCAACCCTCCCCCCTCCCCGACATGCCCCCGCAGGCAGCTCCGTCGCAGGGTAGCTGGGCGCAGTTGACTCCGAGCTGGGCGCGGGACGATGACGTACGGGCAAAAGGTAGAGAAAGGAAATGCAAGGGGGGGGGAAAGGGGTGAATGAGAGGATGGCGGAAGGAAGGGAGAGTAAAGGAAAGTAATGGAAGGGGAGGGAAGTAGAGAGGGAACAGAGGAGAGTATGGGGTGGTGGAAATGGAGAAGGAGGAGGAGGAGAGGGAGGAGGAGGAGGAGGAGGAGGAGGAGGAGG